ATTCAATAAAATACGATTTTTCCCCAACTCACAAAAATTGGTATCAGGGAAAATACATGAATCAAAAGTATATCTATTAATGAAAGAATGTTTTGGATAACCATGCAAGCAATAACAGAGCGACCCAAAATCTTTCTATATATAACTACTAAAGGTCTTTTACTATGATAGACAAGTGACTTTAGAAACTACATGTGAAGCTCTCAGCCTCAGAGTCACACAGGCTTGGTCTAGAAAAGTAAGAAAGAAAAAAAAAATGTAATTTTCAAAATTTAAACAAATGTGTGCTGATGAGAGTTTGCAATAAATATTTAATATGAAGATTTTGGATTTTTATGATATTAATAAAATCTTACTTTGACCTTGAAGATATGTTATTGTGTAAGCATGATAAGAATATGATATGATTGATTGATTAATGTTTGTTTAACGTCCAGTGGACAATATTTCATGCATATTCAGGACGATTAAAATATGATAAAAGTGTACGTCACCAAGACAGAAATGTTGAAAAATTAATCATGGTTTCTTATCAGAAGATTTTTCTTGATCATCACAACACCAAAACAAAGGACAAACAAAACATTTGTACTATAACCAAAAGTACTGGACCGCATACAACAACAGACCTACACTTGAACTGCTGACACTGGAATCCTCCAAAAACACTGAAAACAACAAATAACAACATTGCATGGTCCAGGCTAGGATGACAATTTGATTGCATACTTATTTAACTTAATACATTGTGGTACAACAAATTCCTTTTGTGTATTTAATGAAATCCACACCATGCCAGTTGAGAATAATCATTTCATGAATGAGGTTATGGGATTGATCCCAGGCAAGGTCAAATCTAATTTTATTAAGTGTTTGTTAACCAAATGTGACCTAACAGTGGCCAAATTCAACTAACATACATGTCTTACATCAACTTTGCCTAAGGGAGTTTATGGAGTTGGAACCTTATTTTCTTCACATTTTTTTAGGAAATTAGAAACAATAGGTTGTTAGTGCCTGCAAAAAAAAAGTTAAAAAAATAATACAATGTACATGTCTCTGCCTCAAGATAATTTAACTGGTTTAAAACAGGTTTAATTAACATGATTAATACAAAAATATGACCTTTTTATGACCTCCAAATTAACAATATCAAGTGTCAAGATGAGTTGATTTGATCTACAATTTTTGATTTTCCACTGATTTTATATAGATAATGATTTTATAGTGTTGTCCTCAATCATATATAGATTTATGATTCATATAGCTAGTATGTATATAACATGTATAATAACATGAAGCTAGTTCATGATCAAATATATTGGTGCCCTATAAACATGATAAATAAAACTGAGCATTATAAACTTTTAAATAAATTGCTATGCTAATTTTTTTTTTTTTGTAAACAATCCCAGTGTTAAACTTTGATATCATATTTAAATTGATCGGTAGTATTGATGTATGTTTCATTTTGTGTATGTTTGGATGATTATATATTACATGTATTATGTAGAATTTTGTAGATGTTTTCATTTGGTCAATTTACCAGATAAAACTAAAGAGTGCTTGCCCCATTGATTCAATCAGATGCATATTTGGATTTTGAAAGTACATGTATGCATTAGTCACACACAACATGGGTAATAACATCCATCAAAATGAAGGAATTAAAATAATATTGAGAATGGAAATGGGGAATATGTCAAAGAGACAACAACCCGATCATAGAGCAGATAACAGCCGAAGGCCACCAATGGGTCTTCAATGCACCCGGATGTGGTCCTCACCTTCCCCCTAAATAAAAATGTGTACTAGTTTAGTGAAAATGATTCTTCAATTGGTTGATCAGTATTGTTTTGTTGAATTGCTTTCTCCCTTCGACCTGATATCATTGCCATTTATAGAAATTTCACGAGTGCATGCAGTGGGATTGTTTCAAAATTGGAATCTACAATGTTTATAACACAAATTTCTACAGGAATTAAAAGATATGGTCGCTGTCTCGTGAAGCATCTTTGTTTGTCAAAAAAGGGGAGGGCGCAGAGAGGCCAATGGAAAAATAAGTGGGGCCTCCTAGTGAAAAATCTGAAAAATGTACTATACATAAAATACAAGTTTTTGGCTATAAGACATGTAAGGAGGGGTCCTGGCAACTTGAATACTCTCAATTGAATCTGTCCTTGTCTTAAGTATTTCACTTAAAGTTTTCATTAATGGGAAACATACATAGAATGAAACTAAGTACTGTCATTGGTTCATGTCTCTCATATTTGTTTTTAGTTAATTGTTTTGTTATAAATCAGACTGTTAGTTTTTTCAATTGAATTGTTTCATATTTTTCATGTTGGGGCCTTTCATAGCCGACTATACAGTATGGGTTTTTCTCATTGTTGAAGGCTGTATAGTTGCCTATATATAGCTATAATTGCTTACATCCACTTTATTTGAACTTTGGTGGAAAGTTAAACAAAGATAAAATTTGACTCCTGTATTTGTATACATACATGACATAACTCTAATCCTATAAATGTTTTCATATTTACTATACTTTTTCAGAAAAAGTAAACCCTCTCTTTAAAACAAAGAAAAAATAAACACATAAAGTTTTCAAAACAGTACATTTTTTTATGTGACAAACTGGGAAGTTAGTACAGTTTGCTTGCACTCTATTAAATTGATTTTTTCCCCTGATTATCATAAATGTGACATAGTAAGTGATTGACAGGTTACCTGGTCAAGAAAATCACTTGTTTACCTGTTAATCTCTAACTTGAACTTTGACCTGGACAGCTGTTTACATTTCTTACATAAGGATGGTAATCCATTGTTTGCTATCATTGTGCTATTTGGATATTTTGATAAGAGGTAAAAAAAAGCCTATTATATCTTAAAGATGTATTTGATATTTAATCATTAATTGTAAAAGACTTGAAGAGTTTTATCATACATATACAATGTAGTTTAATCCAAGGCTTTAAGTGTCTGGTTGGATTAAAGAAGAGTATATATATGATAACACTTGTATTGTGAAAAAAACTTGGAATTTTTGGAAATTTAAAACAAATTCTTTTAAGGTAATTTTTTTATTCATATATATATATCTATTTGTTTAGACAAAAAAAAAGAATCTCTGTTTTTATCAGGATATATTTAAAATCGAAAAAAATGCTTGTTAATTTCTTTGTGTTTCAAGAAATTAAGATTGATTTTTTTTGTACTGAAAATTTAACATATACATTCAAGAATACACTGATTGCAAATAATGCTATACATTACTTGAATATACATCTATACCCTCTTATTGTATAGCAACATAATTTTTCAAGCAGGACATAAATTTTACTAAAAGTTAGTGTTCAATATTGTGATATAGGTACAATTAATAACCTTATCAGTGACAGACATATGTTTAAAACAGTTTTTCAATCTGTACTATACCATAAAAAGGTTATAGCATGTATATTTATTGGTAAATATTATTTCTCATAGAATATATATTCCACCCCCTAGCATGTGCACTATAAAGATCTACTCTGGACTATAATATTCACCAAAATCCATGCAATAATCCTATATACATGATATATAAGACATAAGGAAATAAGATTTTATATTTTAAATACTGAATACTGAAGGAAATTTAAGGTGACAATATACGTGCCTAAAGGAAGATTAGTAATAGTAAGTTTTATAACTAATTGTGTAAACCCTCTTTAAAAGAGTATTGTTGTTGTTACTAACATTATAATCTAGAGCCTGTCATATGGTTTTGCAATTTGACGATTTTTTAAAGATTGTATATAATGCCTCAGTTCTAGATGTTACTTCTTATAAGAGTTGTTATATTTAGCTATTTAGTGTAATTCCCCATTTAAATGGTGTTTAAACTGTATAAATTATTTATCTAATTAAAACAAGATTATTTGCAAATATTTTTACACTTAACATTTGCCAAAATCGTATAATATAAATATTGTTAACTAATGTATTTATTTTAAGTGATCTTAAGAATTGATTTTATATTTTAAATAGACTATTACCTATATCATGTATATCTAAATTATTTTCTTAGATTGTTGAAGATATGTGATAGTTCATTTAACTGTGAAGTCACATGAAAGTAGTTTATTGACCTTAAAATAAATAAATGTAAAATTATAAATAGATTTCTTTTTTTATCACAAAAGCTTGTAAACACATGGTGATTTTTCTTTGTTAGTTAGTCTAGCAAATTAAGCATGTGTTTTAACAAAGAGATGTTAAATATTTTGATGACGTAATTAATATTGTAGAGGGTTCACATTATAAACCATATCTTTTATTATATAGAGGCATACATAATCATCCTAAGTACTTCTGGTAAGCTTAAGCTTTAAACTAACATATTTTACTGAAATTTTCTTGTGGAGCAAATAAATTTTATACACAAAAGAATTTAAATTTTCTGCTGATAAATATTGTATTGACATTGTTCATAATATTTATAATTAAGTGTATAAAGAACTACCGGTACTTTATGTTTATTTTGTCATGTTAACCAATTCTGTTTTGGTTGCTCAGTTGGGGATTGGAACCCCCCTTTTTTTGACGATCAATGCTTTTGAATGGGGGCATATGGTTGGAACCCTCTTTATCCTGGGTTGGAACCCCCCCTTTTTAAAAAATGGCTGGTTCCGCCCCTGTTGCTCACCCAATTTTGTTAATATAATGGAACTATAAACTAGACTATTTTCATATTACTGTCTAGGCTCTGGAATATATATATTTTTTCGACAGGTTATACCTATTCTGTGGTAGAACAACCTGGTACTTGGTCAAGTAAGAGCAACCAAAAGAAGTAAAATCAAACATATAATTGGTTCAATTTGGAAAGAAAGTTTTCTGTTTTCCAAAAATTTTGTCCTGTATAGAAAACATAAAACCGTGTAACAGATTTATTCAGATCACTTCATATGAGCAAAAATTCATAGCACCTAAAGAGTTAATTTGATTATTTTCAGGCTTCCAAAGCCATGGAAAAGTTTGACATTAAAATTGAGAGATCCAAGCCTTGTGTGTTAGAGGAGATTGTGGATCTACTGAAGAAGTTCCTAGAGTACTGTTTGTGGTGTTTGACATGTGGATGTTATCACAGACCGTCAGACTCAAAGTCTTTCAATGGAAACGGATATGAGATGATTCTGTTGGACAGTGAGAAGAAAGCTGTGCAGAATCTTCTACATTATATGGAGTTAGGTCAGTAAATTTAAATAGCTAAGGGAAACACCTCAATGGTCTCATGGTATCATTCTTGCCTTGAGTGAAAACTTAAGACTTTAAATTGGTATTTGCTGCATTTTTGCAATAAGCAGGTGGCCATGGGTAGAGGAGTAAGAGCAAACTCTGATCTTCTTGGAGTCAGAATTATGTAACTGAGTAGGATGACATGTCTTCAAATAGACTTTTACCTTGTAATCTATTAAGTTAAAATCCAGCTCAGCATATAGCTGTAGTACAAAGCAAGGTTCATATTCATAATGCACTATTAACACGTTCTTATTCTGATTTCTGAATAGCTAATTAGGTGTAGGGTACAGTTAGAAGGAAGCTGTACAGAAGCTACTTCATTATATGGAGTTAGGTCAGTACATTGACCAGTACTAGTACATGTATATACATGTACTGTGGATTCATCATAATATTATTCATGGGGTACCAGTTTTGTTTGATTTTGTGCAATTTCATGTCAATATAATGGAACAATAAACAATAAACAATAAATGACGTTTCCATTTTCTGACGTCAGACACGCGAAGCAATGAATGTGGTTTTTAATTTGATAGATGCTTTTCTGCTTTTTTGTAAATGATTGTTTGTTTTGATATTGTCTGTTTTGTTCACGCATCGTTGTAAATATAACGGAATTTGATGAGACTGTCGTACAAGTGAGAGGTTTAGCGCTATAAAACCAGGTTCAATCCACCATTTTCTACATTTGAAAATGCCTGTACCAAGTCAGGAATATGACAGTTGTTGTCCATTCGTTTGATGTGTTTTGTCATTTGATTTTGCCATGTGATCCGATTGAATTTTCCTCGGAGTTCAGTATTTTTGTGATTTTACTTTTTATGTATATATGCATGTACATTGACATTTGCTGATTGTTTTACAGAAGCAAGTGTGGATCCTGTGTTAACAAAAGAACGCATTCTGACATTAGAGCCATACTCATGATACTAACATCAAAGTACTGTAATAAGTTATCATTGTTTTACAGAAGCCAATGTTGATTCAGTATTAACAGCAGTTCAAATCAATGCCATGTAATAAACATATATATATATAAAAGTTTTCTCTTTATTATATTATATAACATGTTCACATTATTTTATAGAAGCCAACGATGATCTAGTGTTAACAGAGGAACACATGAGAGTCATGTCTGATGTATATAACATGTTCTCATTATTTTACAAAGGCCAGTGGTGATTCAGTGTTAACAGTAGAACACATAAAAGCCATTTTGATGTATATAGCATGTTCTCATTATTTTACAGAAGCCAGTGGTGATCCAGTATTAACAGAGGAACACATCAGGGCCATGTGTATATTAACATACTCAGATAATGAAGAATTACAGAAATCTGCTGCTTTATGTTTTACAGAAGTCAGTGAAAGAAGTAAGAAAATGTTTTATAGATGTAGAATGACAAAAATGTTGATTAAGGATAAAACTGTACTTTGTCAAATTGTTATTGAAAATGTACAATGTTAAAAAAATTACTCATTCAAATAGTTTATTGATGAAAAACTTCATAAAAATGTTTAAAAGAAACACAATGCAACAAGGAAATAACCCAAAATTTTTACTTTTTGACCATAATCTTTCCTCGCATGGAAAATCTGAAAAAAACCTGAAAAATTTTTTCTTGACTAAATGTTTTGTTTTTAATAAATAAGAATAAAATTATAAGCCAATCTTTTATATTTTCAGTGTCAGCACCTCTGACAATACCTATAGCACGCCCTCTGGTGGAGCTTCTGAGATCACGGGATATTCAAGTACAGAAAGCAGCAACTTTAGCTGTCAGTAACTTCTGCATGATTGGACCTGGTAACAATTATATTAAAATTTCTTTTAAAGTGAAACACTTTTAAATAGTTTTTTTGTCTTTACTGCCAGTCTGAGGCAAGGTGTTTCCAGTTTGGGCAGTGTCTGCAATATTGGTGGCATTAAGAATTTTTTCATAAGGTTAAACTGACGAGACAAATCTGTGTTAACAGTTCATGATTTTATCATTTGTATTTTAGACAAGTGAAACATGAGTGCAGTATACAGTATAGTAAAACTTTCTATTAAGGTCACTTTACCATTAATAGCATGTTTTACTGTGTACATACAACTTCTAGTCAGCCCTTTTTAGCTCACCTGGCCCAAAGGGCCAAGTGAGCTTTTCTCATCACTTGGCATCCGTTGTCCGTCGTTCGTCCGTCGTCGTCGTCCGTTAACTTTTACAAAAATCTTCTCCTCTGAAACTACTGGGCCAAATTTGACCAAACTTGGGGTATCTAGTTTAAAAAATGTGTCCGGTGACCCGGCCAACCAACTAAGATGGCCGCCATGGCTAAAAATAGAACATAGGGGTAAAATGTAGATTTTGGCTTATATCTCTGAAACCAAAGCATTTAGAGGAAATCCGACACGGGGTAAAATTGTTTATCAGGTCAAGATTTATCTGCCCTGAAATTTTCAGATGAAACGGACAACCCGTTGTTGGGTTGCTGCCCCTGAATTGGTAATTTTATGGAAATTTTACCGTTTTTGGTTATTATCTTGAATATTATTATAGATAGAGATAAACTGTAAACAGCAATAATGTTCAGCAAAGTAAGATCTACAAATAAGTCACATGACCAAAATTGTCAGTCGACCCCTTTAGGAGTTATTGCCCTTTATAGTCAATTTTTAACCATTTTTCGTAAATTTTTGTAATCTTTTACAAAAATCTTCTCCTCTGAAACTACTGAGACAAATTTAACCAAACTTGTCCACAATCATCATTAGGGTATTTAGTTTAAAAAATATGTTCGATGACGCCGCCTGGGAACCAAGATGGCCGACATGGCTAAAAAATAGTACATAGGGTAAAATGCAGTTTTTGGCTCATATCTCTGAAACCAAAGCATTTAGAGCAAATCTGACATGGGGTAAAATTGTTCATTAGGTCAAGATCTATCTGCCCTGGAATTTTCAGACCAATCAGGCAACCCGTTGTTGGGTTGCTGCCCCTGAATTGGTAATTTTAAGAAAATTTTGCAGCTTTTATTATAGATAGAGATAAACTGTAAACAGCAATAATGTACAGCAAAGTTAGATCTACAAATAAGTCAACATGACCAAAATTGTCAATTGACCCCTTAAGGAGTTATTGCCCTTTATAGTCAATTTTGTAAATATTTTACAAAATATTTTCCACTGTAACTACCGGGCCAAGTTCATTAAAGATAGAGATAATAGTAAGGAGCAAGAATGTTCAGTAAAGTAAGATCTACAAACACATCACCATCACCAAATCACAATTTTGTCATGAATCCATCTGTGTCCTTTGTTTAATATGCACATAGACCAAGGTGAGCGACACAGGCTCTTTAGAGCCTCTAGTTTTATCACGCTGCAGTTATACTTATGAATTGTAAACCTCAATTCAAAGGTCAGATGTTAAGTAACCATCAATCAATCAATTAAAAGGTCACCTCTCTTAAGGTCAGTTTTCAGTTGTCTTGAGCGTGACCTTCATAAACAGGTTTGACTGAATGTATTGTTACTGTCTATTGGCTTAACTGTGTGTATCTCATTAAGTGTGTGAATCGTTATATGGCAGCTTCTTGAGACTAATACTAAGTTTAACTTCTAGCAAAATCCAATTATTGCCAAGTATATGACAAATACGGAAAAGTTAATGTTTTTTTTTATTATCACACATCAAGGTTAAACTCTTGACATATTCTTTATTATGCCCCACCTACAATAATAGGAGGCAATATGTTTTCAAGTCTATGTGTCAATCTGTACATCCTGTATTAGGTTAGATTTTTGAATTAAAGCAGTTTACCATGAATTTGTAATAATGTCTATTTAAAACTTCAGTACACCTGTTCATTGAGGAAAATTTCAAAATATATGACAAATTATGGTTTTGACACAAATTTTGCCATTCACTGTTATGGTCTATGGTTTAAAGTTAAAGGTTGGTTGAAATTAACCTGTGTTACTTCATTGGATAGCTGTTAGTGCCCTGTCCCAATAGATATGGTACTTCTGAGGTTACAACTTTTAACCTGTGTGTGGCAAGTTGGTTTTCAACTCCAATCTTAATTGACAAAGATTGTCAGTTTTCCGGTAAAAATGGTTCTCTCCAGTTACTCTGGCTTCTTCCACCAATACAACTAGCCGCAATATGATATAGCCAATGGCTTTGAAAGTAGCGTTAAACATAAAAAAAAAAAAATCATCCAATTTATTGCATTAATCAGTTAATAACATTTTTAAAGTATTAAAAATTCAGATATTATTGCATGCATTTTTATTGCAATTTTTGAAGAATGGACAAAATTGTGTGATTAATTGTTGCGAATTCAGGAAAATCTGCATACATATGTAAGTATCAGATATCAGAATGTAAGTTTTAGTACTTGCAATACTCACCCAGTCACATTGATCGCATTAATATAAACCTCACAATAATTTCTGAATTTACAGTATATAAACAATATTTTATTTTTACATTTCAGGTCAGAATAAAGAGGTCTTAGTTACATGTGGAGTTATCCCCCCTCTCGTCCAACTTTTACATTCTAGGAATGTTGAGGTACAGTGCAATACTTGTGGTTGTATAACATCTTTGGCTACCTCAGGTGAGAAAAAATTTATATCTGATAGATTTAACACAAGAGTTATTTCCCTTGATGGTCAATGTCATTATTTAACTCTGGAGAATTATTCCTCTGGAGAATAGCAAATTCAGACTTAACTTTTGAGATTTGATAACAACTTTAATTTTACTTTCCTTCTTCTAATATAACTAGAAACAAACCAATCTTGATTTCTTCAGAAAATCAACAAAAACTGTAGAATAACCCCCTCCCCCTCTTTGCTTTATTGTTACAGTCCATGATGTGCCACTACAAGTTACATTTGCTCATTCATTGCATCTTTTCTAAGGCTAATTTTATCAGAAAACCAATTTAGATTTGGAGTATTGGGTAAAGAAGGAGAAGCAGATTGTTAAAACTTTGATCTTTTAAAACAACTGCTAAGAAAAACTGACAAAACAAGAACAAAAAACTTTCATATTTGTTCAAGATTTAAAGTCTATAAACTAAAGTCCATAAGATCTTAAATCTGGTTCTTGAGAATTTCTGTTCCGTCACTCAGTTAAATAATCGTCATACATACCAGCTAAAAATATATTGATACTAAACCTAAAGCATATGGATAATGAAAAACTCCTCAAAGATAGGAGGCTTAATGAGAATTTTAATTACAAAAGACTCATCAGTGATGCTCAATTAAAAAAAAGTTAAAAGGTCAAATAAAGTATGAAGTTGAAGAGCATTGAGGGCCAAAAATTAATAAATGGTTTACAATTGCAAGATAAAAACTACCAATAGAATGTCATTCAAACAAAGGAGTAGGCCCAGTAAGACGCCTTTTTGGCCCCAAAATATAGCAGTTTTACAAAATTGTTAAAATGTAAATTTTTAGCTATTTATTGGAAAGAAGAATACTTCTGTTACATAAATATGGGCTGCTTTTGACAATACAATGCACATGTATCGGGTACTAGCATCATTAAGTCATGCTAAATTACTGAAATCTTCGAAATTTTAGCATTTTGGTTAATTTTTAGACGGTTTCCGTCTGAAATGGAAGTGGCCGCATTTGTGTTCATTCTTAATATTTAAATATAAGTTGTATTTGATGATAATACATAACATATATAAAGGTTGAGAATGAACACGGATGCGGCCACTTTCTTTTTTGACAAAAACCATCTGAAAAGTGACATATTATGGCATATTTGATAGATTTTTCATATTTAAGCTTGAATTTGAGCATCTTTAATGACTAAATCAGGTCAAATCTTTCACATAAACTAATTAAAACGACTGAAGTAGACACTTAAGTGTTTTAAAGTTGTCCAAAATCTTTCATCAGATGAACCTGAATTTTGAGGCCATACTCGGCCCTTACCGGACCTACTCCTTTACATACTGAAGTTTTTACAGATGAGATTAAATCTATTGCCAATATACATTTTTTGTATGCTTTAATGATTATAATGTATGATGCAGATTCAAACAAACAGTTGATTGTGAATAACCATGGAATTAGGCCATTGATAAATCTGATGAAGTCCACAGATATACGTGTTCAAAGAAATGCTGCTGGAGCTATACTTAATCTCACCCACCAACGTAAGTTTGTCTTGTCAGTAAAAAATTTATCTTACAGGCCTCCGTAAGCTGGTCTTGTCATTTAAAAAAAACAACTAAGTGTTTACTTCTTTTTAAATTGGTCTTATTACAAAAAAAACCCATTCATGGCAACATGTAATAACTTTTACATGTATATGTCCTTGATTAAAGCCAATTAATGAATGACTATTATTTATATGATTGATGGATGTTGTAACACTTTCCTATATTTTCAGTCGTACAAAATAAACAAACAAATACTGATTTTGTGTCATGGATGGATACCCCCATATCCTTTGTTTTTAGCTCACCTGGGCCTGAAGGGCCCCATGTGAGCTTATGCCATCACTTGGCGTCCGTCGTCTGTCGTTGTCGTCTGTTGTCGTCTGTCGTCGTAAACTATTTAAAAAATCTTCTCCTCTGAAACTACTGGGCCAAATACCTTCAAACTTTAACTTAATGTTCCTTAGGGTATCTAGTTTATAAATTGTATCCGAAGTTTTGATCCATCTACAAACATGGCTGCCATGGCTAAAAATAGAACATAGCGGTCAAATGCAGTTTTTGGCTTATATCTCAAAAACTAAATCTTTTAGAGCAAACCTGACGGGGGTAAAATTGTTCAATTGGTCAAGATCTGTCAGCTCTGAAATTTTCAGACGAATCGAACAACCCATTGTTGGGTTAACGTTGCTGCCACCGAATTGGTAGTTTTAACAAAATTTTGCAGTTTTTTGTTATTATTTTGAATATTATTATGGATATATATAAACTGTAAGCATCAATAATGTTCAGCCAAGTAAGATCTACAAAAAAGTTAATATGACCATAATTGTCAATTGACCCCTTAAGGAGTTATTGCCCTTTAAAGACAATTTTACACAATTTGTTCATCAAGTTTGCTTACATTTAAAAATCTTCTCCTCTGAAATACAGGTGAGCGATTCAGGCTCTTGAGAGCCTCGTGTTCTATTAAAGCACATAAACTTTGAACATAAAACAAAATATACTATAGAAATAATACAGATGGAGGATTTAATACAATGTATCTTCAACAGAAGAAAATTGGAAATCAGATAATTCTTTAGAATCGTAAACTTGCATCGCCCATTAACTGAAATTCCCTCATGAAGTGTTTTATACATCTATACTTCCCTTGGCATAAATTCCAGTAAAAAACAGAATTAACCTCAATTACTTGGTTTACTGAACATGGACACATGATAATAAGAGCGAGGCATGGTGTTCTGTGGACACATATTCTTGTTGAACTCTACATTGTCTTAGGCCAAGCTTAAAAATATGTTTGTTTGCCCTTCTCCGGTCCAACCCACCAATTTTCGACTGGGTATGTAGGTAGGCACAATATTTTATTTTATTTTGTTTAGCTTAAAAAGTGTTATGTTTAGCTTAAATTCTTACTAATTTGTGAAATGAAATAAGTTAATAAAACAAAATTACAATAACAATTTTTGGATAGGCTTAATTTTTTGGGACAGTCAGGGAAGGGCAAACAAACAAAAGTTTATTTTAGGCCTTATATTATGTATACATTCAACAAAGCTATCAAAGATCTGCCATCAAAACCAAATTTTCTAAATAACGTAAAAAATTACGATATCGTAAAAGACAACTACAGTACTGACAAATCAAAGGACCTGTCTTTGGACAGGGACATGAACATGTTGCTTGGTTAAATTTGATTTTTCAGATCCTCCACCTTTTTCTTCTTATCAATTAATGCCAGTTGAATAACCAAAAGTATACCAAATCAACAATATTTGATTCTGTACTTTCTTTCTGGTTTATTTTGTGGTTATTGTACAGACTCTTTACTTCATTGATAGCATAAGGGAAACCAGCTAGGGTACCAGTAACCCCATTTCATTTTTTTAAATGCATAACGAAGACATTTTTGCGTGCAGTTATGATTTCGATTGGTGAACAATTGACAGAAATGCATGATTAATTATTGTGATTACAGGAAATGCGGAGCACATAAATGATGTTATCAAAATTTGAAATGCAATTTTCTATTTTTGTGAAACAGATATCCTGTGACAATTTTTGCATTCATAAAAAGTTGTAAAAATTTCTGAATTAACAATATCATTTTATAATATTTACAGAATCTTACAGAAACGACTTAGTTACAAAAGGTGCTATACCAGTATTAATTGATATTCTACACTCTAGTGATATTGATGTACAGTATTATGTAGCGGCATCCCTCAGTAACCTCGCTGTCAATGACAAACACCGCACTATGATGACCGCCATTGGACATTATGCTGTGATAAAACAATTGGTCAAGTTAATGTCCACTAAAAAGGACAGGGTGAGTTTGATAATGCATAGGTCAACTCAGATACTGTGGATTCATTAATTTTCTTTGGTAGCAATTTCCGTTGATTCAAGAAATTTTTTGGCCTGTGATACTTGATTTTTCGTGGTTTTCACAAATTCTGCATAAACGCCTTAGGGAAATTTGTATTTATTGAACATTTAAATTCCTGGTTCACCTATGGCCACAAAATCCATGAAAATTATGAATTTTCTATGCGCTTAAATTTCATGCCCATAAAGTGTTTTTGAAGGAATGAGTAAAAGGCTTTAACTTATTTTTGTAAAAATGTTATTGTTTTCTGAAGGTGATTCATATATATGCATACTATATTTTCAGGTTAAATGCCAAGCATGTTTTGCTCTCAGGAATATTGCGTCTGATGGTGAGTATATTTTTTTTGCACCTCCTCAACATGGAAATGAGATAGTGTGCATCAGGTGAAAGTTATGGTAGTTACCATGGTTAACTCGGCAACATTCTGTATGTGCCTGTCCCAAGGAGACTTTAATTTAGTGGTGGTCTTTTGTTGCTGTATAGCATATTTGTTTTCTGTTAATTATTTTGTACATAAAGCAGGCCATTAGTTTTCTTGTTTGAATTGTTTACATTTGTCCTTTTTGGGCCTTTTGTAGCTTAATATGCAGTATGGATTTTGCTCATTGTTGAGAGCCGTACAGTGACCTATAGTAGTTAACTTTTACATCAATTGGTCACGGGTGGAGAGTTATCTCATTGGCAATTATACCATATCTTCTTATGTTTATATGATCTTGTGGTCATATCAACCTTAAACTTATTGTGTATGATGCGTACTTTTGAAAAACAAAATGTTAAATTAGGGTTTTCAGTTAGATTTCATGGTTCACTGAACTTTAAAAAAATCGAATGTGCACAGGTCCTGATGTCCTATGCCCAGATGTTATTGTTTTCTTAGAGTTCAGCAGTAAAGTGACTCAACTTGTCCTTCCTTTTTAGCTCACCTGGCTCGAAGGGCCAAGTGAGCTTTTCTCATCACTTGGCGTCCGTCGTCCGTCGTCGTTAGCTTTTACAAAAATCTTCTTCTCTGAAACCACAGGGCTAAATTTAACCAAACTTGGCCACAATTATCATTAGGGTATCTTTTTTAAAAAATGTGTGCGATGACCCCGCCAACCAACCAAGATGGCCGCCATGGCTAAAAATAGAACATAGGGGTAAAATGTAGATTTTGGCTTATATCTCTGAAACCAAAGCATTTAGAGTAAATCTGACAAGGGTAAAACTGATTATCAGGCCACGATCTATCTGCCCTGAAATTTTCAGACAAATCTGACAACCTGTTGTTGGGTTGCTGCCCCTGAATTGGTAATTTTAAGGAAATTTTGCAGTTTTTGGTTATTATCTTGAATATTATTATAGATAGAGATAAACTGTTAACAGCAATAATGTTCAGCAAAGTAAGATCTACAAATAAGTCGTCATGACCAAAATTGTCAGTCGACCCCTTTAGGAGTTATTGCCCTTTATAGTCAATTTTTAACAATTTTTCGTAAATTTTTGTAATCTTTTACAAAAATCTTCTTCTCTGAAACTACTGAGACAAATTTAACCATACTTGGCCCTAATCATTATTAGGGTATCTCGTTTAAAAAATTTGTCTGATGACCCCGCCTTCCAACCATCATGGCCAACATGGTTTAAAATAGAACATCGGGGTAAAATGCAGTTTTTGGTTTATATCTCTGAAACTAAAGCATTTAGATAAAAATCTGACAGGTGGCAGAAATGTTCATCAGATTTAGATTTATCTGCCCTGAAATTTTCAGACGAATCCGACAACCCGTTGTTGGGTTGCTGCCCCTGAGTTAGTTATTTTACAGAAATTTTGCAGTTTTTTGTTATTATCTTAGATATCATTATGATATCTAATATCTAATACTATTAATTATGATTTTAACCTTATTTTACATGATTTCCAAAGCATCAGTAAAATACAGGTGAGCAACACAGGCTCTTGAGAGCCTCTAGTTCATTCTCAAATGAATGTGTAATGCCAAAAGGTACAGAAACAAACCATTACCTACATTTTATACTGTTTAATATAATTGATATTTTACATGTACAGTCCTCTTGTGTAAAACAAAACAAATAGGCAACTAAAGTTGATTTAATCATTTGATAAAAAAAGGAGATGTAGTGTGATTGCCTATCAGACAATTATCTACTAGAGTCCAAATGATGGGGATTTAAGAGCCTATAGGTCACCATACAGCCTTTAACAATGATCAAAACTCATACCTTATAGTCAGCTATAAAAGGCCCCGACTTGACAAAAATTCAAATAAAAGCCAATGGTGCTTTGTATATTTCATGATTGAATATATTTGCTTTGGTTTTACTTTTTTATAAATCTCATTTACCTACCACAGTCTCCTTGACTAGTACAATGTTATTCAATACTATCTAGGTCACTGTGACCTATATTTATGTGAATTATTATTAAGACTGGTCGTAGACATCTATATTGTACAGACGTGGTATTTATATGAGTATTTTTTATTTTGAAGTTGGGTACACTTATATAATCGAATTACTTAAGAGTTCTCAAGGATTTTGAAAACACCTTGAACTATATACTTTGTTTACGTCCAGTTATATAAATATATAAAATTGACATAAATCTATATAAATGATTCATCTATAGACTTGAAATAATAGTCAGCACAACAATAATCAACATCATTGATATGTTTTGTTCAGAAGGAAGGAAAATATTGATTGTAAGCACAGATGTGATTAAGATTCATTCATATATAATGGCTGACTCATTAGCTTACATAAGTTATTTACACATTTTTAAAAGTCTTTGGTTAAGACGCAAAAAAAAGAACTACTGCTTTCGACGCAAAAAATGATATCTAGGGTTTATGTTTTACGATGTGAATAATATACATGTAAATGCCAGATGTTCCTTATTATGTAAATGTATTAGAAAATTGCGCATTTTGTTTTATAAATAAGAAATGTAATCAGATGCACTTTATTAGATGTAAAAGAAATATGCCATTAAATTAGAGAATTATCTCTCTGAACATTTTTATATACTATGTATATACATAGATGTATGGGTTAATGGTGGTACATAACACTACAGGGAGATAACTCTTTAAAAATCAGCTGAACGTTTTAATCACTTTCTATTGTTAAGGAAATATTAAGCTTCTCAATGAGTATACTACTATTGCAGTTTACTGTGGATTCATTTATTTTTGTGGGTTCCAATATTTCGTGGATTGAGGAAAATTGTATTTCTTGGATATTTGATTTTCTGCTGTTGCTAAAGTAAACATATTAGCTATGGAAAACTTGTACTTCATTGAACTTTTAAATTTGTGGTTCACTGATACCCACAAAACCCAAGTAAAATTATTATTCTACGAATAATAATGAATAAGTGAATGAGAAATCCAATAAAGACAGATATTTGTAATAAAAACAATTATTAGTTTTGTAACTTTCTACCTTTACAAACAGTTTACATAAAAACATAGTGGATTTGTTCACTCACCTGTGACATTTACCTGCAACGGCTGTTTATCATTATAGGTTGAAAGAGAGGTTCAAAGGTGTTAAAATTGATTATCACTTGAATGTTTAATGAAGGGGAACACATTGTGGTGAAATAAACGTTTTAATGATAGTTCAACATATCATTGTGTTTATATAATTGTCAGTTCTTATTTGAAAAAAACAATAAAATGTTTATTGAGATGAAATGAGCTGTGAAAAAATAAACATTTAGTTCTGTGTAACTATGTTAGTTTTCTTATTATTATCCAGTATATTATAATACAGATTAATGAAATTTAACCAGTGTAAATTTTATCTGACACAGTATCCGGAGTTACCTTTAAGAAAAGTGATGTGTTCCCTGAATAAACTTTTTGCCAAATTTTTCCTGAGAATTGAATGCTTCGCAGGATATATTAGCATTTGAGATCCCCAAAAACTTATTACAAAAACTTGAGTTTTACTATACAAGATATGTACCAACTCTTTGATTGTACATGAACTTAGTTACTTTACATAATGATGTTTATCTAATGTTTTTCAGATGAAAATCAGATTATTATAGTACAATTTGGAGCTTTACCACACTTACACAATATAATCAAGTCAAAAGCCTCACATAAAGACACGCTTGGTGCTGCTGTGGCCTGTCTCAGGAACCTATCCATACATAGAGCTAATGAGGTAAAACAGGGAACCAATTATAATACATATCTGATGAATGAAACATAATGATATGATATATTTTCTGTAACATATGGTTGCCATACTTGTGATAATGTCACTTTTTTCAGGTTCAATGCTATAAAAAAATTTGATAACTCAAAAAAAGACAATCTATATAAATAAGAAGATGTGGTACGAGTGCCAATGTGTAAAAAGTAAACAATTATTGGTCAAAGTACAGCCTTCAACACAGAGCCTTGACTCACACCGAACAGCAAGCTATAAAGGGCCCCAAAAAGACTAGTGTAAAACAATTCAAACAGGAAAACCAACGGTCTCATCTATATAAAAAACAAGAAACGAGAAACACGTATGAACCACACCAACAAATGACAACCATTGAACAACAGGCTCCTGACTTAGGACATGTGCATAAAAATGCTATAAAAAAATTCTAAAACTCAAAAAAAGACAATCTAAGCTGTTTGCTCGAATGATACATTGTACAGCCTCTTTAACGTGGAATGACTGCTTTGCTCTGCATTCCAGAATTGGTATATCTAATATACTGAATCAATGTTATTTGCATTTAGGTGGTACATAACACTACAGGGAGATAACTCTTTAAAAATCAGCTGCACGTCTTAATCACATTCTATTATTAAGGAAATATTAAGCTTCTCAATGATAAAAATCAGTGTTTGTCAAACTGCTATATATCCAATGAAATTTTTCCGATAAAGTGTGTGGTTCAAGTTTTTTGAAATTTTAATATTATTGTCAAAGGGTCAAAGTAAATATTTTGTCAAAATTTTATGAAAATTAAACGAGCCAAATTAATTTTAGTCAAGGTGATTGGTACCATCTTAAATATTTATTTCAAAACGAAAGAGGTGGAATTGATATGTATACAGTAAGACTTCAATTTATACATACTTGCCAACCTCTGACAATGAGAAATCATGTCATGACATGACATGACATGTCAAAAAGCGTGTGAAAACGCGTGACGTAGATGTGGACTTTTTAATACGACTCAGAACAATGTTCATAATTTCACATTATACAAATTTGTTAATATAAAAAACAATATTCTACTATAAACTTTTATTGTATTCAATAGTGGTCTGTTTTGCTGCTTTTAAAGCAACACCACTAAGTACATGTACAAATTCAAAACAACTGCCAGTTTGGTTACATTTACTTGATAACAAGGCACACAGTATATCATTGTCAAGTTCTGATCAGAATTCAGTGTGAATTTCTTTATAATTGAAAATGCTCTGTCACAGTCAGGATTGATATTAGCTGAACTAAAATAGCTTTATCAAGCTTTGAAAGCGTGTCATAACGTTTTTTTTTGCCATCTAAAATGTCATCTATTATCTCTGCCATTGCTCCCAACAAACTATATATGTTGCTATAGCCTGGTCAAAACTAGGTAGTTCATCAGAAGACAGCTGGTACTATGAGAACTGATCCAACAGTTCCGTGATATTTCCATCCCCTATGGCCTGTGGAAATCTGTTGGCTAGATTTGAAACTGAAAAAGAAAAATATTTTATTATTCATGTTATTTGATTACCATTAAACACGTTAAATGCTTAATCAAATAGCTACATTGTAGTTCTCCTCTCACATGTATTGTTCTGATTGCAACATAGGGTGCACAATGCGTTACTCGTCCCTCGATCATTTAAACTCGAACTCCCAAATATAATTTATAAATCTTGAATCTTAGACGTACACATCGACATTGTTTTCACTTAACAATCGTCTCTTAAGACGACGGTACAGGTCCTGAAAGCGACCTCTTTCTGTGTACATTTCCCCTACGTAAATTTGAAAGAAAGAAAGTCACAAAATCGTAAAAACTAATCACAAACTACTTACCCTAAGTGCTTTTTGCTGTTCGTCCATATAGAAAAATAAACAATGGCCACCATACAATTACTTCGAAATTTTCAGTATTTATCCTCTGGTCATGAAAAAACCCGAGAATCGCGATATCACTAACGACCAAAAAATCAAAACAACGAAAAAGCGTGTAATTGCGTGTAAAGTGGTGAAAAGCGTGTACACGCCATGTGACAAAATCCTTGCGTGTATTACACGCGAATATCATGTCAGTTGTCAACTATGATTTATATTTTGTCCTGAATATGCATGAAATATTTGCCACTGGATGTTAAGCAATCAACAATCAATCAATTTATATGAGTAATCCTTTTAAAACAATTATTCTTTAAATTTTCAGATACCACTGATTTCAGAAAAGATAATCCCAGATTTACGTCCTATTTTATGTGATAGTTCAAACTCGGAAGCTCAGAGGCATGCTGCAGGGACACTCAGGAATCTTGCTGTTGGGGATCACCACAGGGTAAACATTTACCTTCGAAATTTATTTGCAGAAAGAAAATTAAACTGATAACATCTTCCGACAAGGACTTACAGCAATCAAAATTTTGAGTCAATTATTGTACTCGGGCTTGGAAAATAACTTTTCAAAAAAATGGATTTGATGTTTCCAGTACAAATTTTGAACTCAGAGTTCAGAGTAATGTTTATAACAAAAAGACATGGTGTATAAGGGAAATGTGTAGCCATACAAGGAAAAAATAACTTTAATGAACTTATTCTTGACATCAACTTTACTAAATCAAGCACCAAAGTAGTGATCATTGTATTAATTAATTCATTAGCTCACCTTGCCTGAAATGCCAATTGAGCTTTTCTCATCACTTGGCGTCCGTTGTCGTCGTTAGCTTTTTACAAAAATCTTCTCCTCTGAAACCACTGGGCCAAATTTAACCAAACTTAGCCACAATCATCATTAGGGTATCTAGTTTAAAAAATGTGTCCGATGACCCTGCCAACCAACCAAGATGGCGGCCGCGGCTATAAATAGAACATAGGGGTAAAATGTAGATTTTGGCTTATATCTCTGAAACCAAAGCATTTAGAGTAAATCTGACAGGGTAAAACTGATTATCAGGTCAAGATCTATCTGCCCTGAAATTTTCAGACAAATCTGACAATCTGTTGTTGGGTTGCTGCCCCTGAACTGGTAATTTTAAGGAAATTTTGCAGTTTTTGGTTATTATCTTGAATTTTATTATAGATAGAGATAAACTGTAAACAGCAATAATATTCAGCAAAGTAAGATCTACAAATAAGTCGCATGACCAAAATTGTCAGTCGACCCCTTTAGGAGTTATTGCCCTTTATAGTCAATTTTTCACAATTTTTCGTAAATTTTTGTAATCTTTTACAAAAATCTTCTTCTCTGAAACTACTGAGACAAATTTAACCATACTTGGCCATAATCATTATTAGGGTATCTAGTTTAAAAAATTTGTCCGATGACCCCGCCTTCCAACCATCATGGCTGACTTGGTAAAATATAGAACATAGGGGTAAAATGCAGTTTTTGGTTTATATCTGTGAAACTAAAGCATTTAGAGCAAATGTGACAGGTGGCAAAAATGTTCATCAGATTTAGATTTATCTGCCCTGAAATTTTCAGACAAATCTGACAACCCGTTGTTGGGTTGCTGCCCCTGAGTTAGTAATTTTACAAAAATTTTGCAGTTTTTTGTTATTATCTTAGATATCATTATAATATCTAATATCTACTACTATTAATTATGATTTTAACCTTATTTTACATGATTTCTAAAGCATGAGTAAATACAGGTGAGCGACACAGGCTCTTGAGAGCCTTTAGTTGGTTTATATCTCTGAAACTAAAGCATTTAGAGCAAATCTGACTTGGCAAAAATGTTCATCAGATTTAGATTTATCTGCCCTGAAATTTTCAGACAAATCTGACAACCCGTTGTTGGGTTGCTGCCCCTGAGTTAGTAATTTTACAAAAATTTTGCAGTTTTTTGTTATTATCTTAGATATCATTATAATATCTAATATCTACTACTATTAATTATGATTTTAACCTTATTTTACATGATTTCTAAAGCATGAGTAAATACAGGTGAGCGACACAGGCTCTTGAGAGCCTTTAGTTGGTTTATATCTCTGAAACTAAAGCATTTAGAGCAAATCTGACTTGGCAAAAATGTTCATCAGATTTAGATTTATCTGCCCTGAAATTTTCAGACGAATCCGACAACCCGTTGTTGTGTTGCTGCCCCTGAGTTAGTAATTTTACAGAAATTTTGCAGTTTTTTGTTATTATCTTAGATATCATTATAATATCTAATATCTAATACTATTAATTATGATTTTAACCTTATTTTACATGATTTCCAAAGCATCAGTAAATACAGGTGAGCGACACAGGCTCTTGAGAGCCTCTAGTTCATTTTTCCATCTATTTGCAAATTGCATATGCAAATTCTTCTCTACCAATGACCTTATTTCTGTGAAAGTTTCACAGAATCTGATGGCATTGTAAATTTTCTAATTTTTATGCCACCTAGGGGCATTATGTTTTTCGGTCTGTGTGTCCGTTCGTCTGTCTGTCCATCTGTCTGTCCAACTTCAGGTTAAAGTTTTTGGTCAAGGTAGTTTTTGATGAAGTTGAAGTCCAATCAACTTGAAACTTAGTACACATGTTCCCTATGATATGATCTTTCTAATTAGAGTTTTGATCCCAATTTCATGGTCCACTGAACATAGAAAATGATAGTGCGAGTGGTGCATCTGTGTACTATGGACACATTCTTGTTTTATCCAAACACGAGAGCAAAACCTGTACTAAATTGTCAAATTCACAAAAAGAGGTTGGCATATTGCATCCATAAATCATACAAATACAAACTTACTGGTGTAAAATTAAATTAACATTATTTAACGCTACTATGAACTATTTAATATAATCTTGATTCATTAAGTTATTTTCAGAGCTTCATATACAATTTAAATTTTATTTATTTCTATTTTGACATGAATTATTACTTATGAGTGCTGAAATTTTGATTTGTTCGTGCATTTTACAGATCATAATAGACAATGATTGTATCGAAGCAATGACATTTGTTCTCATGGACATGGACACAAAACTTACAGTGCTAGCAGAAATAACAGCTGCATTAGCTATACTCACAGATGAAGGTACGATTATCTCCCCTGATTTATAACAAAACTTATAGTGCTAGCAGAAAAAAACAGCTGCATTAGCTATACTCACAGATGAAGGTACGATTATCGCCCCTGATTTATAACAAAACTTACAGTGCTAGCAGAAATAACAACTGCATAAGCTATACTCACAGATGAAGGTGAGATTATCTCCCCTGATATTTAACAAAACTTCTAAAACAGCTGCATAAGCTATCATCACAGACTATGTTAAGATGATCTCCCCTGATTTATGTTAAAAAAAATTCACACAGAAATAACAGCTGCGCCAGCTATCCTCAGATGAAGGTAAGATTATCTCCCCTGATTTGTAACAAAACTTACAGTTCTAGCAGAATTAACAGCTGCATAAGCTATCTTCACAGACAAAGGTAAGATTATCTCCCCTGATTTGTAGCAAAACGTACAGTGCTAGCAGAATTTACAGCTGCATAAGCTATCCTCACAGACAAAGGTTAGATTATCTCCCCTGATTTGTAACAAAACGTACAGTGCTAGCAGAATTAACAGCTGCATAAGCTATCCTCACAGACAAAGGTAAGATTATCAGCCCTGATTTGTAACAAAATGTACAGTGCTAGCAGAATTAACAGCTGCATAAGCTATCCTCACAGACAAAGGTAAGATTATCTCCCCTGATTTGTAGCAAAACGTACAGTGCTAGCAGAATTAACAGCTGCATAAGCTATCCTCACAGACAAAGGTAAGATTATCTCCCCTGATTTGTAGCAAAACGTACAGTGCTAGCAGAATTAACAGCTGCATAAGCTATCCTCACAGACAAAGGTTAGATTATCTCCCTTGATTTGTAGCAAAACGTACAGTGCTAGCAGAATTAACAGCTGCATAAGCTATCCTCACAGACAAAGGTAAGATTATCTCCCCTGATTTGTAGCAAAACGTACAGTGCTAGCAGAATTAACAGCTGCATAAGCTATCCTCACAGACAAAGGTTAGATTATCTCCCTTGATTTGTAAAACTTAGTGTTAGCAGAAATAACAGCTGCATTAGTTATCCTCACAAATGAAGGTCAGATGATTATTTCCCCTGATTTATAAGAAAAAAACTTACTTTGCTAGCAGAAGTAACAGCTGCATTAGTTATCACAGATGAAGGTAAGATTATCTACCTTGATTAACAAAACTTTCATTGCTGGTAGAAATAACAGCTGCAATAGCTATCCTTATGGATGAAGTTAGAATAATCTCATCTGATTAATAACAAAACTTCCAAAGCCAGCACAAATACTATCCTCACTTAAGAAGGTATCATATATATCCCTTAATATATAGCAAATCGTCAAGTGCTAGAAGAAATAACAGCTGCATTAGCTATCCCAACAGACAAAGGTAGGATTATATTCCCTGTTGTTTAACAAAACTTACAGTGGTAGCAGAAATAACAGCTGCATATCTATCCTCAGATGAAGGTAGGTTTATCCCCTGATTTATTTCAAACTTCCAATGAAGGCACAAAAATATTGACATACAAAGGTGAAGCTATCTCCTCTTATATATGATAAAACCCCAAGTGTTTTTACAAAATGTATTGCGTAAGCTTTATAAAGATTCATTTGATTTATAGCAAAAATTTCTTTTATAAGCAAAACCACAAATACACAAACTACATGCTCTATACTTAACCAAAGTATCTGACCTATCTCCCATACATATAATGCATTTGTAATGTTAAGTTACTTTTAACAAGATTTATTCTGGTATATGGGAGATAATCCAGTTTGAACCATGTTCCATCATGCATTATATGTCAGATACTTACCTTAATAATACAGTACTGTAAGTTAAGATAACAATGATCTTATGAATTAGAAAAATGTGACAGTATCACTTTCGCAGTGATAAAAACTTGCATTTCATAGTTTCTGTAGTGATGGTTCTTCATAAAATTTGTTTAATTGCATTAAATAGATTTCACATTTTTTGCCAATGGTCAAGAATTTCCAATAGTAATAATAAAGATTAATTTCTGAAATTACAGTACATATAAGTAAATTTTTTTTTCTCTTATTAGTTCATGATAGATACTGAGAATTCAGTAATTTTGGAATTAGTTTTATTGTGGTGGAAATTGCAACATGATATCTTTTGCATACAAAAACTTTAGTTCTTAATTTTGATAGCAATATTTGTATGCTGTAGTTTTGGGAATCTCATTAACAAAATCTCACATTTTTGTCCATTATTCAACAAACAATAATAAATGCATGCACACATTTCTGAATTTACAGACATATTCTAGACACACTGTTTAAATAAAGAACTAGTATTGTGTTTTCTCTTTAAGTGCCAGTCTTTGTAAGAATCAGGCAATTTTGAAAAAAAATAAAAACATGGCCGAAATAAACCCACCGACCTAAACATCCTATTTTGAAGTTACCCTCATCCTAAGTTAGAAATGCTAGGTCTTTTGTTTCTGCATGTCTGGTAATTTGAGAAATCTCTAGATAAATTTTGGTAAGAATGATGGAGTTAGCTCCCCTTAATTGTTAATTTCTAATGCATTTCAACTAAATTATATCTTGAATTACAAGAACAGGAAAAGGAAACAAAAGTTATATTTGTGCACCATTATACATTTTGAACATAAATCAGTGTAAACTTGAGCAGGTTTTTGTTTGTCATGTTTTCACCACTGCCTGTATCTTTATAGGCAGATTGGCACTTAAGTGCATGCACAACATTTTTAATTTTCAGACATTTCTGTACACACTGTTTAATGTGTTTTCTCTTTCAGATGATGTGAAGTATAAAATATTACAACTACACAATGGCAAATGTTTTACAAAGCTTGTAGCCATGGCAACCTTATCAAGTCATACAGATGTGCAATATAATAGTGTTGGTATCCTCGGCCAACTTTCTCTTGTCCGTATGTATGGTTGACTTTCTTTTTCCCATTATTGTCATTACATCACAATCATAAATTGACCAATCAGAATCCACTATTTACCATTTGAAGGAAGATGTTAAGTGCTGCTTATTTTTGGGATCCATTCTGTGCAATACTGGAAAATTTTTGTGATGGAATTATTTTTTTTTTTTCATGAATAAGATAAAATTTCCAAATTATCCCTCACGTAAATTTGATATTTAAGGAGGATTTTAATTAATCAGAAACAAGTAAAAAATGACGCTCTAAACCAAAATCTAGACATCGATATGGTTTTTACACCATATGTTTATGATTAAAACCACGCAGAGTATAAAAGTTGTAAATTAAAACTGAGACTATCAAATATCTACTAAAGTCCCCAAATTCCAAAAGCATAAAGATTTAACAATATGAAAGTCTCTTTCAAACTTTTTGTCTCAAATGTTGAGTTATTTCCCTTTGACATGTTTTCATTAAAAAAAAAGACTTTTATAACAGTTTTTATATACATTTCTACAGTTGTTATTGTTGTTTTATATCTGTATATGTGTGGTATGTGACATTGATCTGAATTTCATTTATGTGAATTTTATATTTTAGCCCTACCAGAACCTCTAAAGGTGGAAAATAGGAAAGGTATTCTATTGTATATAGACATGTTCCTGAAATCACCAGATCCAAACTTTATACATGTTGCCTTGTGGACGTTGGTGCAATTACTTAAAGGTTAGTATATATATATATTTTTATGTATTTTTATGTATATTCATTTAATAACTGCAACACTGAAAACAACTGGTTTTATTGTCTAGGCTCAAAGAAGTAAAAAAAGGAGACTTATTGTCTTAGGCTCAACAAAATGAAAAAAGAGACTTGTATGTGCAAGTGTGCCAACATGCAAAGGGGTAATAAATATAACGGTGGCTTTGCAGGTAGCCATAAATCACAAACAATTTCACAACACTTTAAATCACTTCACAACCTGAAAATCTCTCTTTTAGGTGTCATTCTCAAAGACAAATCATATTTTGTTTCATTTAATACTTAACAATAAAATGTTTGTGACGATCATTTGGAATATATTATTCCATAAATTTACATAGCTGTTGACATTTTTCTCTCTAAATTCCTGCAAGTCTCGTTAAATCTCGTGGAAACAAGTAATTAGGTCATACCATAAGGAAAAACCTACAAGATTCTAATCCCGTCAGTATAATAGTCCCAGTATACATGTACTGTATTTAGAATCAGTAATATTAAATTTTTATATTATTTGCATTTTCAGAATTACATTTTATTTATTTTTTATTCCAGATCAATTTTTCCTACAAGCCTTCAGAGAACATGATATAGAACAAGTTATAACAAAAATTCATCAGATCTCATCACAACCTACAACCATTGATGAACTTGCTGAAACAGCTCTGAACATGCTCAGAGGAGAAGGAAGTCCAACTTCCAGTGATGACTGACCAATCACAGTCAAAGATAAATTCATGTGATATCTGAATGACAATGATCATGAACTGCCAATAAAATTATTGTCAAAGTGCTAATACTTCATGGAAGTAGACACGAGATGAAGTTTAAAAGACTGAGGATCATGCAGCCTTACCATCATTTTTACTTACACAGAGTGACAATATTTATAGATGGACAACCATTGTATGCAGACAATCCATCTTGCCTTGGAAATTGAATTTTCCATAAATTTTTATTTTGAACACTTGATTCCCATTCATGTATAATTAAAGGGTAAATTTGAATTGGATAAAAAATCAAAAATTAAGTAATGAGATGAATTGTCATTTTTCCATAGAAATTTGTTTATCATAATATCCAGTGAAATTGAAAAGTAAATGTTTTGTGGAATACAGTATACCACATATTGATTCAATAAAAATCACTCTAGATTGTGATTTTTCACTGTTAATGGTGGTGATTGTGAGGGAGTCACTCTGAATATCACTATGTATTTTGTATACTGAGGGATTCATTTATTTTCAAAGGTGCCAATTTTCATGGATCAAGGAAAACAAACATTTTTGTGAATCTTTGATTTCATGGTTTTGCCGAAGTCTGCATAAATCCCTACTTAATATTGCACTTCGTAGAACATTTTAATTAATTGTTCGCCTATTACCACAAAATCTATGAAAATTGGTTTCCCGCTTATAATAACAAATTCACAGTAGATTAATATATAGCAAATTTAAGGCCATAAATTTACAATAATCAGCAGTCACCCTGTTTTTCATTGATTCACTTAACACTAGCAAGAACTTTTGTGTTTCAACTTGTGTGTGCCATTAAATTTTATTGTAAGTAAATGTAATTTACAAGGTGACAATGACATTTTACTGTGGATTCATTTATGTTTTGTGGATACCATTTTTTGTTGATTGAAGACATATTTTATGTTTGTGGATATTTGATTTTGTTATTCTGCCAAGTTCTGCATACAAGCCTATAGAAAATTTGTACTTTGTTAAACATTAAAATTTGTAGTTCATCGATCACCATTAGCTAGGAAATCCACGAAAATTAGTATCTGACAAATAATAATGAAATTCCACAACATTTAAAATGGTTGTTTTGTAGCTTAGATTGGCTCAATACATGTTGTGGGAAGTGTAGAAGTGTTATGACAATGTTTTTTTGTAGTATTTTCTAAGCACCGCCTTTTTGTTTTATGTGTTGTAGAGGCTTTAACAATGTGTTTTATTCTTATATGATAATTTTATCTATCTTATTTATTTTACTTCTTTTTAGCATTGAGCATTGATTAAGCAATAGACCATTTTCATAGTGCCGACTTTTGACTTTTGAGTTTATATTTTTTCTACAGGTTACCATCTCTGTGGTAGGACATCCTGGTACTCAGTCAAGTAAGAGCAACCTAAAGAAGTAAAATCCAGCTTACAATCGGTAATATGGGGGGAAAATTTTCTGTTTTATCGGAAAACAGTAAACTTTTCCAGCAAATTGCACCGATTATATATTTGATTTTACTTGTTTTGGATGCTCTTACCTGACCAAGTACCAGGATGTCTGACCATAGAGTAGGTAACCTGTCGAACAATTATATAATCCGGAGTCAAAAGTCGGGAATATGAAAATAGTATATTGTAATACTTGTAAAATGTCTATGACTAATTTTTTTATCGTTTATCATTTATCTTTTATCGTGTTTATTTTACAATTTTTTTTTTAATACTGAATAACTAATCTTGGAGCATTAATTCAGCAATTTTAATACTTAGAAAATGTTTTAGAAATTGAATTAGGGAAAGTATGCTCTGAATATAATCACGTTGAGAATGTTTATGGGTGATTTATTTTCAGAAAAAATAAGAAAAAATAATGCATTTATATATACATCTATGTGATATGTATTTAAAAAATGAAATAAGTAATCCTTTCATCCTATAAACATGATAAATAATACTTATAACTCAATTTGAAAGTTATGATTAATTTTTAAACCAAGATGTGTTCCGATTTTTCTATTCATTTTCCTTCTCACATTTTCATAACATTCGTTCAAATTTTACATTTTACTATATTTAGAAAATTGAATTTTATGAAGAGAACACAAGGTTTCCTGAAAACATGTTTTATTTCTGTTATTCATACCAATTTTCTTCTTCAATTTTTACCCTTTGAAGACAGTAATTTAATTTGGCATTTTATATTTCATCATGCTGTCAAATTATTGTTAAAATTTTACATTTTGTATTTTGATTTTATTATTCATCATGAGTCAAACATTAGGGGGGTAGGAGTGGGTGTCATCATTAATTCCCTGAAAATTTGACCTCTATTGGAGTAATCTCAAGTTTCTGAATGGAAAAAAGTCAATGTGAGACCAAACTCTTCAAGTAACATGAAGCCAAATGTATTATGTATTTTTAAAAAGTCAAGAAGGGACCAAACGGGGCTTGGAATATGATGTGTAATGTTTCTATTAGCACTCCATATAATTCAATAACACCTTATCTTAAGTTCTGGTATTTTACTACCATTGACAGAATGACAATTGCAAGACAATCATTTTTGTTCTTTTACATCAAATATTTTCTTTAATAACACTTAAAGGGATAAATATTTTACTATCAATATTGGACAAACTTGAGATTATTGTATTTTGTCTTGTATAGACATTCTTCATAATATCAACTTCTCAGTCTTTTTTGCCATTTTTTTTTAAATGCATATAGGCATTTGATCTTTTTACCTCCTAGGGAATTCATTTTGCTTTTCATTAAGGAAACTCGTACTAGTATTTCACTAAAATTGATCAAATTTTACAATTCTGACTTCTGTAATTGTAGTTCTGAATAAAAGTTAAAGATTGTATAGTACATGAGATACATTTAATGGTAGTTATTTATAGGATTTTAAGCCTCATGTTTCCTCTGTTTTATTTATGCAGGTTGGTAATGTATGAGTCTGTTTGATATTCTGTACACAGAATGAGTTCAAAGACTTATAAATTAGAGATAACTTACGATATTTTTGTCTTTCTTTATAAAAATGATCTGAATGATAATTTTACTACCCGTTTTATACATATATTTTATAATTTTTAGTCTACATCATTCATGTATTATTTTGTAATATTTATTATTGATTTGTGATTGTGATACTGATCTCAAGAAGTCACAGATTGGGCAATTTCTGACAAAGTACATATTAGTTTGTACAAATACATGTTTAATCAACTGATTACAAAAAAGCTCCTGTAGTTGTGTTTTTCAATATTTCTATCCAATCTGAAATATTATAAATTCTTCCTAAATAGGCACAACTTCTCTTAGGAGTAAACCTAGAAATTTTTCTGTCAAATCCTCCCAAGTCTGGAATTCTGCAGATGAATAAAAAGTATTAAGATATGTCAAAAGATCCCTATTTACAAGGTTCTTAACTTGGGAGGGGCACATACAAATGTGATGGGAAGAACAATTTTTGTATCTCAACCCTCCTTTTTTTCATTTTCAATCAGAAGAGTAACAAAACATACATAAACGAATACACAATAAAAACCTGTACAGGAAAAGAAAAAATATGTAATAGATAATACAAATACAAAATTAATAACAGATTATTCCATATTGTCAAGATTATAAGAATGATTTGCCAAGATAATGTTGATGTTATTTATTTGATTGATTTTTGGTGTTTTAACGCCACTTTTAAGCACCGCTTTTTGGCTATTTCGTGGCGGCCAGTTTTTATTTGTGGAGGAAGCCAGAGTGCCCGGAGAGAACCACGACCTTCGACAGGAAAACTGACAATCCTAGTCAATTAAGATTGGAGTCGAGTGTACACGCACAAGCGGGGTTCGAACTCACAACCTCAGTGTTGACTGGCTAGTGATTACAGTAGTAACTACTTAGACCACTCGGCCACCCAGGCCCCTTGATGTTATTTAAGATAATAAGTTTTTCAATGGTGTTTTTAAAGGAAGTGTATTTTGAATTTAATGGATAAGTTATCAAACCTAAATAATCTTGTGAAACTGTTAGCAACAGCAAATAAATAATCATATCAGAAGCCTGTAAATCAGTGGTTGTGATATGTTGCTATCTGCAATATTTGTTTTTTCTCTAAATTGTCTTTGCATTGAACATGCATTTGGTGGTTTGCTTGAAACGTTTCACATTTTGTCTACTGGGACCTTTTTTTTTAGCTTACTATATGTAATGGGTTTTTCTCATTGTTGAAGGATGTATGGTTATAACCTTAAGTGGAGTTTTCTTCCTATATAAAGGTATACTAAGAAGTGCCACTGGTATGGGTCACTTTTTTGGAATTTCAAATTTACCAATTGGGTACAATTTCACAGAGGTTATTAACCAATAGATAGAAATTCATGTCATTTGGTCATAAATTTTCATCTTTTGTTAAAATGACTGTAAAAACTGTGTATGGATCTTTTTATTTTGTGATATAAATGATCCCATGTGGTTAAGTCTTAATAAGATGTCATGACAGTTGGGAAATAAATATAAATGGGTAATGATTTTTGTATGAAACATGAATTTGTAAGGATATTCGTATGAAATATAGGAATTGGTAAGGATTTTCACATAAATCAATACATGAATGAGAGGTGGTTTTTAAAGCCAAGCCGGGCGTCAGAATTAAAATGTATATTTATAACATTTTTATCCACGGCCAGTAGATGTTCAATAAAAAATCATATGACAATGTATACCATAGCCAATAGATGTTCAAAGAAATATTGTTTTAATCAAATAATTCAGATACTCCTATATGTTATTAATGTTTTGTTTACATTATTTACTAATAATATTACAATAGATAATTAAGACATTGTAAAGACATTCCATGCAAAACCACTAGTCATTTACATTTCATAACTATTTCATTGCACACATATGTATACATGTATATGTACATTGTTCTAGAAATTCAGGAATCATTGATTTTATCATTCATTTTGCTCTTTTTATTCAATATTATAAATTTATCTCAGTTATTTAGTCTTTGTTAATTTACAGGTCTCAATTCTGACAGTTATTGACTTGAATTTGTTTTTCTTCTTTACTATTTTTTCTGGTATTTATTTATTTGATTAAGTTTAAGATGCTTTCTTGCCTAATTGCATCTAGTTTTATGATCATTCCAACTCAAAATTTTTGAATTCATTGTTTTACCATAATCTTCCTTTAAGCCTACAAAAGATTTGAACTTTGTTGAACTTTTAAAGTCGTTGTTCACCTTTAGCCACAAAATCCATGAAACTTGGTATGCCACGAATAATAATGAAGCCACAGTTACTACTTAGACTGCTACAATATGTATAAAAAATACACTTTATCTAACCAGTTTTGGCTAATGTATGTACCAGAAGGACATTGTATATTGTTTTAAAAAGGGGGGTGTATGTATGTTAATAACTTCTCAGAAGTGTTTAGTGTTAATAACTTTTTAGAGGTGTTTAGATCTAATTTTAGAAAACAGGACAATATTTTACTACATGATTTCACCTGACTGGGTATGATTGATTAAATCATGCGATTGATGGACGTTCTTATCAAGTATCACTTAGGGCGGTTTTAGAATTGAATGCATAGAAGGGTGGACAGTGGAAGCACTTTTCAGACCCCAACCACTCATAATTTAAATTTTCATTTTACTTTTAATTATTCCAAAAATCTAAGGAAAATGCAACCACTCACATTTAATTAATTTGAATGCCTCCCATCCCCTCCACCATGATCAATTTAGGAACAGCGCTTGTTGCTTTTTTCTCAAATAAAACTTTTGTCAGTCACATGGTTATGCCTATCAAACAAAGTAGGTGAAATAAGGTAGAAATATATTGTTCTAAACTATAGATTTAACTAGCTTTTATTGAATAGAAATCAAATAGTCTTGCTAGTATAAGCCATACCCATGCAATCAGGTGACATTCTTCAGGGCTCACGCTAGCAGTCGACTGGGGTGACAAAGTCGCTTTCCCTTCCGTCACTTCGCTTTGCCTGCCCGTCAACAGCGATATCTAGTCGCCCTGGTGTTCACAATAGTCGCCTGCAGTCACATTCGTCAAAGAATTTCTTTAGTAATATGTTGTACTTTTTAATATCCAATATATCTCTGTTATTTCAGCTATATACTGGCATATACACTAACAATCATCAGAATAGTCATTATGGATTACATGTGTGCAACTGTTTTTGTGTCCTTTATTACATGTGCAAATAATGTAACATACATTCCTACATTATTAAATGTGCAAGTTATGTCATATTTAATGCTTTACATTCCTACTGTATTACACCTGCAAGTAATGTCATTTGTAATAGTATACATTCCTACTGTATTACACCTGCAAGTAATGTCATTTGTAATAGTATACATTCCTACTGTATTACACCTGCAAGTAATGTCATTTGTAATAGTATGCATTTCTACTTTATTACATGTACAATTTATGTCATGTTTCATACTGTACATTACTACTTTATTAGATGTACAAGTTTTGAAATGTTTAATGCTATACTTTCCTATTTCACTACATGTGCAAGTTGTGTAATGTTTAATACTATACATTCCTACTTTATTACATGTACAAGTTATTTTAGGTTCCTTGTATGCTGAACTAAGTATTAAAATTGATACAATTCATTAAAAAACCTTGTTTGTACTTATATTCATTGACCAAATTTAAGGTGGTACCTAACACTACAGGGAGATAACTCTGTAAAAATCAGCTAAACGTTTTAATCACGTTGTATTGTTGTAGGAAATATTAAGCTTCTCAATGATCAAAATTAGTGTTTTTCAAACTGCTATATAACCAATGAAATTTTTCTAATAAAGTGGTTGGTTCAAATTTTTTGAAATTTTTATATTTTTGTCAAAGGGTCAAAGTAAACATTTTGTCAAAATTTTATGAAGATTAAACGAGCCAAATTAATATTAGTCAAGGTGTTGGGTACCACCTTAAGCATGCAATACATAATCTGTTACATGAGAGAGCACAACAGAAAAGGGTGTGAGATACCAAGGGGACATTCAAAACTCATAAGTTGTTGAGAACTGACAATGCCACAAAAGACAAATAAGTCCACAAAACAACTACAGACTAAGCAAGACAAACCAAACAAGGTACTAAAGCAATTAGGATAAGATAATATAAAATATGCATTTTAGGGACAATTTATGGTCACCTGTCCTGTAAAAAATCTATAAAAATGAAGACCTATGCACATTTTATATATTTAATGGACAGACAGGATTTACAACCTGAATTTTGCATTCAGGGTAAGAAAACTTATGTGGTCACCATTTCATTACTGATTTCCCAAGGTATCATATTTAAACATTCTGGGACTTTACTACAATAAACCTTAATTTTTTAGATTTGATCAAATGACGTGAAAATACAATACCTTTTGATCTGTGTTGTCATACCTTTGTGTAGGAAATTATTTAAGGCATATGATGGACAAAATTCAAAGTTGCCAAATGATTTATATTTTATATGGTAGTTGTTATCAAATAGTTCGTTTTTATGTATGTTGGCGTTTGTTTTTTTTTGCACTTCAGTGTTTCCGTTGTTCCGTTGTTTTCCTTTATAGTTGATGTGTTTCCCTCAGTTTAAGTTTGTAACCCGGATTTGTTTTCTCTAAATCGATTTATGACTTTTGAACAGCGATATACTACTGTTGCCTTTATTTATACTTTACAAATGTATATCTTATCATTCGATATTGAGAGTCATGTACATATATATATTAAGTGGTTTTTAATTTTTTCAGAGAAAAGGAAGTGGAAAATTCCAATGTTTAAGGATGTAGTCATGTCAGGTTTAGGAATTTTTGTCATATGTTCAAACTCCTTGGGTTTTTTCCTACGATATATGGTAAAATAATTTGCCGCATATAATCCACTTTTCTTTTAATAAAATACTTCAATAGCGCATAAAAGGTTATTTACTAAAATCTAAGCAGATTCTAGATTTCTTTTCTTACGATTTTAGTCCCAAATAATGCCAATGCTAAATATAAGGTAAAAGTCCGAGTCAGCCTTTTCCCGCCATATTTTAACAATTAAGATATCTCGGAAAGGAGTTCCACAACCCATCAATATTTTTAGCTTATTTTGTTCCTTAACTAATGCTTCTCTGATTTATAGTATCAATTTTAAATTCCAGATTTTTTTAATTTCACCTGATATCATCCTTAAGTCCTTATGTCCTTATTTAGAACAGGATATTGAATTTTTGATCATCATACTAAATGATAGCATGCTACCAAGAGACCATCGAGGTGGTTAAAAATGCATTTAGAAACAGACAACAAGTAAATTCTTAGATAATTCTATTGATTGATTGCTTATGATAAGTCCATTTGCAAATGTTTTAGGCATACTATCTCTAACCATGCTGAATTGTTTTCAAACAGTGGCTAATTATCATATATTTGCAAAAAGATGCAAATCATATGCAAATGAGCTATTTATTCCTTACAACCGTATAACATTTTTGACAACATGAGGTATAATGAATTAAAGCAGTAAAATTTGTACGATCTTTGTAAGGTTATGTAACTCTAACGAAACCTTTTTAGAGAATATACCGCATCAACAACATTCAAGCAGCACCTATATATGATAATATATATCCTAGTTGATATAATATGAAAGAGGTTGCGATTTCAACCAGACTTTCCTTGATAGTTAGATGCTGCTTACTATGTACATTGAAGCTATTAAACCAAAGTTCCTGATGCCCATCATGGTAAGTTGAAGTAATTTTATTAAAAAGTCATTGACGCCATTTTATTATGGTTGACCGTTATGGGATACCTTTTCCACATATTTGATCAGGTTCTACAGTTGTTAAACATATATGTTCCACTTGTCGTAGCCGCACCCCTTTTCTCTATTCTATTTCATTTTATTATACTTCACACTAGTGGAGCATGCCTAACACACTCCTCGGAGTATCTGGTCACGTACAACTAAATGCGTGTCAATAATGGAGCAAACCTTACATACCCTTCCGGAGTACCTGGTAACGTACAACACAATACGTGTCACTAGTGAAGTATGCCTTACATACCCTTCCGAAGTTCTTGGTCACGTACAACTAAATGCGTGTCACTAGTGAAGCATGCCTTACACACTCCTCGGAGTACCTGGTCACGTACAACACAATGCGTGTCACTAGTGGAGCATGCCTTACATTTCCTTCTGGTGTATCGGGTCATGTACAACACAATGCATGTCACTAGTGGAGCATGAATTACATACACTTCCGGTGTATCTGGTCATGTACAACACAATGCGTGTCACTAGTGGAGCATGAACTATATACCCTTCTAGAGTACCTGGTCACGTACAACACAATGCATGTCACTAGTGGAGCATGAATTACATACCCTTCCGGTGTATCTGGTCATGTACAACACAATGCGTGTCACTAGAGGAGCATGCCTTACATATCCTTCTGGTTTATCTGGTCATGTACAACGCAATAGATGTCACTAGTGGAACATGAATTACATACCCTTCCGGTGTATCTGGTCATGTACAACACAATGCGTGTCACTAGTGGAGCATGAACTATATACCCTTCTAGAGTACCTGGTCACGTACAACACAATGTGTGTCACTAGTAGAGCATGAACTATACACCCTTTCGGAGTACCTGGTCACGTACAACAGAATGCGTGTCACTAGTGGAGCATGACTTACATACCCTTCCAGTGTATCTGGTCATGTACAACACAATGCGTGTCACTAGTGGAGCATGATCTATATACCCTTCCGGAGTACCTGGTCACGTACAACACAATGTGTGTCACTAGTAAAGCATGAACTACATATCCGTCCGGAGTACCTGGTCATGTACAACACAATGCATGTCACTAGTGGAACATGCCTTACATATCCTTTTGGAAGTGATATTGTCAGTTCATATGATAGGTATTGATAGATTTACGTATATTCGTTCCCTAATTAAAGCTAGATTCAGTGTATAATTCAGTTTAGTTAAGATAATTGCAATATCAAAATCTGATTAACTACATAAAACTAGTTAACATTTTCTGTGTAAAACAATCAGTTCAATTCAAGGCGTTAATGGAATTTAATGTTTTTAATGGCCAGATCACATGATGTGTATATATGCAGTAAAAATGGCCTTTCGAAAATTGTCTAGTTTAAGTTTCATACATGATATTTTGCAGACTACGAATACATTTATAGTAAGCATAGGACTGATTTTTTGGCAGCAATGACTGAAGACAAGATTTTTGCTGACACATTAGTAAACTATGGTTGTTGGTGTGGACAACTAGGAAATGGAATGTACGTCGATGATTTAGATAAGTGAGTATTCAAAATGTTTAAGAGACTACAAATCAAACTTTAGAAGATTATCCAAGAACATAGCCTTCTATTACTTCCCTTTTCTCTGACGGACAACTGCCAGCAAAGGCTTTAATTATCAATCGACATTGCTCAAAAATCAAAACAGAGATTGCAAAATGGCCTTGCTTATCGATCAATTTTTTAAAACTAAAAAAACAAAGACAATCTTGACGATTTAGAACTTCACCACTATATCGTATAAACACCTGTCTTTTGTTTTGAGGATTTTATTTTGAAATTTAGATGTCTTTTGTCATTTGTTATCTCTGTATGTCTTTTTTCATTAGTGTTCTCTAGCTGTCTTTTGTCATTAGTGATTCCTTGGTGTATTTTATCATTTGACTTTGTGTTGTTGGGTTGCTGCCGCTTTAACGTATGCTCCAGTTTACCCTTTATTTACACACAAAACAACGTTCCGTACTTAGAACAAAATAAAATATAGGAATACAAATCTTGTTTTAAGTAAACCTTAGTGTTCTTTAATTTATCTTTGTATATTTATTAACTTTAACTGTTAGACCATTTTTGGTAATATCCTTTTGGCGTAACTCATTACTTATACATCCCACCATTATGTTATTGTGCCATCACGGTAGGTATAGTGTTCGGCTGGAGTGATTTGATCAGGGTTTTTCGAGTGTGACCACTTTTTTTTCGAGTGAATATGATCAAAAATGTAAACAAACAGACTTCCTTTCTGGTAAAACGTGAAAAAAGATGCTAGAACCTTATATACAAGATCATAGATGACAAAGTAGTATTTTTGATTAAAAGATATTATCAACTCTACATTATTTTGTTTTAAAAACGTTTAATCTAGCTTTACAATGCTTTATTCCAAAATATAGGTTAAAGCCATTTTTATACACATACCAATGCAAATGTCAACGGAAATGTGCACATGGAATTCATATATACTTAGATATACAGCCACTTGTTTTTGCATTGAAAAGGACATTTTGAAGAGTAAATTCATTTTATATGTCCGTGTTTTTTTCGAGAGCAGCCCGTGTTTTGGCTTAACATGTATATGTCAGTGCATTTACGTTTAAAAACAATGAAAAGGTTCAAATAAATTATGTTTCAAGGCACGAAAAAGTGCATTAAACTAGTTTGATAATGCTGTATTAACACGTACATTTTATAAAAAGTCATCATACATTTGCATTCAGAAATCTTTGTGTTAAGGTACCAATTTGATTTCATACAGTAAATATTTCGTGGTGTAAACAATCTTTATGTGAGTTCAGACATG